TATAGTCTGTTTTCAACTTCCTGTCACAGGATGTCTTCTGATGGAGCCAATCAAATCTGCTGTTCATGTTCTCTCCAGTCTTTATAATTTTCTCACCAAAATATCCCTCTGCATTCCTGACATCTTAGTCTTTCTTCAAGCTGAAAACACTATCTATGAACTTAATATGATGCTGTGGAATATACTAGTAATAAATAAAAATGGAAAATGTTTGTGGAGTTGCTCATATTGTACCTTCAGTTAATGACATCCCCTGTGGCTTGGTATAGTTTTGGTCAGAGCTAATGGGATGGCTTTCACCTTTTTTCTTTTTATATTTTATTATTATTATAAAGGTGGTGTACAGAGGGGTTATAGTTACATAAGTCAGGTAAGGCATACATTTCCTTTTGGACAATATTACCCCTCCCCTCTTCCCGTTTTTCCCTCCCATCCCCACCCACAAGTTGATTAATTCATTTTCAACATAGTGCCTGGTGAGTACCACTGCTGCATTTGCTGACCCTTTTGTCCCTCCATTTCTGTGACCATTCATCTTTACTGGAGTGTTTTATGTTAACATGCTTAACCCTAAAAGGGCAGCATCATCATAACCCTCACTGTCTCACATCTATAATATGGGTGCTTTGGGCCCAGGGTAGAGACTGAAAGGTTTCCTAATTTTACAAAAACAATATTCATCATCTGACAATGATTCTAGATGGGGCTGGAGGCATGGCCCAAATGATAGAGGGCCTTCATAGCAAATGCAGGGCCCTGAATTCAAACCCCAATACCACTACCACACACACAAAAGATGATCATGATGGTTACTGGGAAAGATTATAAGAGCATACCCATTCCTTGAGGAATTTGTCTGTAAATGTTGGCATGACTTTGATTTCCCCTAGCTCTGCTATTAATAAAGTTGGGAAAGTCAAGAAACTGTGAGATACATGAAACTATTTTTTTTGTTGGTCATAGGGCTTGGACTCTGGGCCTAGGTACTGTTCCTGAGCTTTTTTGCCCAAGGCTAGTGTTTTACCACTTGGCCACAGCTCCACTTCCAGTTTTCATGTAGTTAATTGGAGATAAGAGTCTCACAGACTTTCCTGCCAGGGCTGGCTTTAAACCATGATCCTCAGATCTCAGCCTCCTGAGTAGCTAGGATTACAGGTGTGATCCACTGACACCTGGCCTGGGATCCCTTTTGTCACGTAAACCCTCAGAATATAACTGCCTACAACGGTGTGAAATGAGAACAAGAAACATTAGAGTGTACAAGCCCTGAGTTCAAGCCCCAGGACCAGCACCAAAAACAAAACAAAAAAAACCAAAAAACAAAAAGATCATTAGAAGCAAGATGCCTGTGGCTTCACACCTATAATCCTAGTTACTCAGGAGGTTGAGATCCAAAGATTGAGGTTTGAAGCAAACCACATCAGGAAAGTCGGTGAGACTCATCTCTAATCAGTAAAAAGCCAGAATTGGAGGTGTGGCTCAAATAGTAGAGTGTCAGCATTGAGCAAAAAAGCTAAGGGATAGTGCCCAGGACCCCAGTTTAAGCCTCAGTACAAGCACCACACACGCAAAAAATCATTAGAGTTCCCTCTGGAATGCAATGTAAAGCCCAGATAGCCCCGAGTAGCCCTGGTGCCACTAGCAGCTGTCTTTAATAATCATCACCATGACCTGGGCCAATTGCAGCAAGGCTGGCACCATTGGCAGAAGGAGGGAGTGAGTGGCAGCCCCCAGAAGGGAAAAAGACATTTCATGCAATGGAAATTTGGGAACAGTAAAGTGATTAAATTTAAGAAACAGGTATGGTTTCCCCCAACAGGAATGACAGACACTCAAAATAAATGTATTTGTACACCAGTTTTCCACAAAGAATAACTCTTGGAAAATGCCTTCATTGGATAGGAAACAGAAAAATCAATGGCATTTCATGTTGTGGAAGGAAAAAGGGGCCACAGATAGCAATGCTTGAAGGCCCTAGTGGAGTTTCAGTGCCCAGTGGTAACTACAGAGCATAGTATAATTGTTAGATGCTGTCTGAATCACAGGGGCCTCTGCTCAGTCACCAGCAGAATAGGCAGAAGAATGAAAGCAGAAAGCAGGGACTGTTCAATGCCCCCTGCTCCATGGCACATGGGCAACATGATTCCTCCCTTGCTATATGCAGGGAGCCTATGGGTGTTATCCAGAGAAGTACCCCACAGTCCCCTAAAGGGAGAGATGATGGAGGACAGGTGAATCCATGAGACTGATGATTTATTGGGGTTATAGACCCAGATTTGCAGATCCTTTCCTTATCTAAGGTATCAATAAAGAGCAATTCAGGAAGTGATGCCAAGGACAGCAACCACCTCAATGTAGGTACATTCCACAGCTTTAGTTATAAGTATGATACCTATAAAGTCCTAAACTACCCAAGGTAGCCAAGGAGATGGCCTCAGGAAAGGGCATTGTTGAAGCAAACAAGGCAGGGCTGAATAAATGTCAGTTGCCTGTCTCTGCTATCATCTGCTTTCTACCCCACAGGAAAAAAGGAAAGGATATTGCAACAAGAAGACCTGACCAGACTTAAATGTTTGTGTTTTTGTATATTCACCAAACAACTAGAATCACATCTGGATTACGGGATTTTGTATTCTTCCCTAAACATCTCATGTTGGTAATAACAAATGTGGTTTTTTAATGTCTGAATTTTTATATACTTTTAAAAGGTTTCTAAGTGTTTCCTATCTGGTCAGGTTGAGATGTTTAGAATGTCATTTAATAGTAAAACTGTTTTGTGCCAATCTGGGCCTGGGCACTATCCTTGAGCTTTTTTTGCTCAAGGCTAGTGCTCTACCACTTGAGCCACAGCTCCATTTCTGGATTTTTACTGGTTAATTGGAGAAAAGGACTTTCATACCTGAGCTGGCTTTGAACTGTGATACTCAATCTCAGTCTCCTGTGTAGCTAGAGTAACAGACATGAGCCTCTGATGCCCAGCAAAACTTATTTTTAGTAAGATGTGGGTTTTTTTCCACAAAAGTTAGCCAACTACAAATATTCTATTAGTACTGATGTATAATGATAATAATTATAATCATGCTGTGCAGACACTGGCTGAAAGAACTGTGTTTTTCTAGATTTGACTTATGTTTTGCTCTTCAGCAATGTCTCATGAGTTCTCCTGTCTTGATGGCAAGATATATTATAGAACCTTATTCATAGTGTGTTTGCTTTTTATTACAAAATATCTAATGTAACTAACTTTAAATGAGAAAAAGTTTATTTTGGTGATGGTTCTGAAGGTTTTGGTCTATGGCTAATTGGCCCTATTGTTGGGCTGTGACAGCACATCATGACAGGAGTGTGTTGGGTAACGTGTTTATTTCATGGATGGGGATATATTAAAGGAAGAGGAAGAGGCTGGGGTCCGTGTATCCCCTTCAAGGGCATATCTTTAGTGACCTAAGTTCTCTCACTAGGCCTCCAGCCTATTGAAAGTTTCTATCTCTTCTCAATAGTACCAAAGTGGGGACTATTAAAGATCCAGATATCTGCATTACAGCAGATAGAATGCAGTAAACATTCTTTTTTTTCTGCTATATACCCTTTGCCCATTCATGACAAATGAGATGGGGATGAGTGTGTTTTTCTTTCATCATTCTGTCCTTTAATATTGCTAGCAAGGACCTGTATTTCAACAGAAATGTGAGCTTTTCATCCTAAGAGAGAGAGGAATAAAGTTGTAGGAAGTGTTGGATATACATTTATGTCTTTTTTTTTTTTTTTTAGATTTCAGTCACTTTTGCTTGGATAAATCTGACTCATACCCAGGACTCAGGAGAGTAACTCTTCTTCCTCATTCAAAGAATTGAAGGCTGAAACACGATTTTGTTGTTTTTATTTTTCCCTAATGAAAAAAAGCCTTCTAAGAAGGGATTGAGACTACAGGACTTGAAGTTGATTATCTGAGCTGTCTCATAGCCACAGCCCTAAAAAGCCAGCTCTCCAGCCCCTGAATCATCGCTGCTCAAATTTACACTGTAGCATTTGGCTTCCCAAGGGGTGTAATTACTTTCTCCATGATACCCAGTGTTTGAAATGACCTAAGCAAAAACATTTATTTTATTTTCTTCCTTCCTCTGGACTGTGGCAAAGCTATTTGCATTTATAGTAACTTGAAATTCCAGTGGCCTGATTCTTGCTATAGATGGCAGCAGGACAGGACTGGCTTGAGGGACACTTGTGGTAAAAATCAAGGGCTCAGCAGTAGTTTTGCCTTGTGCTGTCTTGGGCATTAAAAAAACTCTTTTGAGCTGGGTGTTGGTGGCTCATGCCTATAATCCTAGCTACTCTCAAGAGGTTGAGGTCTGAGCATTGCTCAAATCCAGCCTGGGCAGAAGAATTTGTGAGACTCTTATTTCCAATCAAAAACTAAAAAGCCAGAAGTGAGCTGAGTGTTGGTGGCTCATGCCTGTAATCTTAGCTACTCAGGAAGCTGAAATTTGAAGGATCACAGTTTGAAGCCAGTCTAGGCAGAAATGTCCATGAGATTCTCATCTCCAGTTAACCACAAAAAGCCAAAAGTGGAGCTGTGGTTCAAGTGGTAGAGTGCCAGTCTTGAGCAAAGAAGCTCAGGGAGAGTGCCCAGACCCTGAGTTCAAGCCCCAATATCAGCACATACAAAATAACAACAACATCATTCTTTTGCCTATCATCCTGTATTCCTCCACCAAAAGCCTCAGGACATGAGACTTGAGAGGGTGTCCAAATGGCTCAAGGTGCCAGTATACCATCAAGGTACAGTTCTCCATTGCCCTTTTGTTGGCTTAAGGACTTATGTCAGACCACAAAGAGTGATGTTTACCCTTTCTGAAGGACTGTATTCCAATATACTTGGTTTCTAACTTTTCTACATTTTCCCCCCATATTTCTTAGTTGCTGAAATCGGTAGTGATCTTATATCCACATCCCTGATTCTTTCACAGGCCTGATATTTTTTTCTTGTCACTCTATTTCAGGGCTCATCGTCGGGGTGATCCTGAGATATGGCACCCCTGCTACCAGTGGCCGTGACAAATCACTGAGCTGTACTCAGGAAGACAGGGCATTCAGCACCTTATTAGTGAATGTCAGTGGGAAGTTCTTCGAGTACACTCTGAAGGGAGAAATCAGCCCGGGCAAGATCAACAGTGTAGAGCAGAATGACATGCTGCGGAAGGTGAGCAGGAACATGGTCCATTATATCCTTGGTCATGATTGTGGTTGTCCATGATATACTTACTGACTCCTGCACTCCATCTTGACCTTATAGAAAGCAACCCTTCCAATTGCCTGGAACAGCAGGAACATTCCTGGTTTATAATTTTGCTAGGAAGCTTTGTAGACACAATGAGAAAAAGAAGGAATCCGATTTTAACTAGAGCATTTCAACTTTCTGACCTGGGCTTGTTTAAAATCTGTGGATAAGGTGATTGCTGACTGTCTAGTGGTTTGTACATCCCCACTCACCTCATTTCTCCAACCAGCATCTCTTCCTTACTGATTTCTCTTGTCATTGCTGTGGTTTAGAGATGAGATTGTTTCCTTTTTAAAATAACACTGATTTCACTTTTAGTTTATTTTTCAAAACTCAGAAAGTAAATTCTTAGTTCTTAGTTGCTCTTTTGCCATGCTCTACAGATATTTGAGTGCTTACCTTATTAATAATCACTTTTTTGTGAATAGTAGGGCTTGAACTCAGGCCTCAAGTTCTTTGGCTTTTTAATTCTATTACTTGAATCACATTTCCACTTCTAGCTTTCTGCTTGTTAATGGACATAGGAGTATTCAACACTTTTCTGCCCAGGCTGGATTCAAATCACGGTTCTCATATCTTAGCCTCATGGTCAGTTAAGATTACAGGTGTGAGTCACCAGCAGTCAGCTCATAAATGCTCTTGAAGTAATCTCAAAGATCTAGCAAATCTCAAGGGGAAAAGAGGAGCTTTATGATAGAATTTGTATTTTTAATTAATTTAAATTTAAAGTTGAGACAAGGTCTCACTATGTAGCCCAGGCTGACTTCTAATTCACAATCTTCTTAGAATTACAGGTATACACCACCATGCCCAGATCAAGCACATTTTTCAATTGGCATAGCAAAAATACTCCAGAATAAAAAGATTATATATATCCTCATGTGGGTGACTTCCAGGATAAATTGGAGATCTGTATTGATTCCTTTATCTTACAGATCAGGGCTTCTCAGCAAGAGGTCTCTATATGGCAGTCTGGGAGATCTAGATGGTGGGGAGCCCCTTCTTACATGGAGTAAGGCTAGTAGTGTGAAAGATTTATAGTCAAAGGCAGTATATAGGGTGTGCTCCAAAACTATTTTTCTTGGAATATACCAATTATTAAGAAAAATTAATCTCAACTTAAACATGACCATTTTCTCTATGTCCCCCGTGCCAGTAATATTGTGCTCCAAACTCTCAACATTTGGTAAGAAAGAATTTCCATAAGCCTTTATAAGGTTAAATGCAACAGAGAGAGACACCTCAGGGTAAATATCACACTAATGGCTGAAGTGGCAACTTGAATTCTTAATATTGGATAGTATAAGAGAAAGGGAAAAGGAAACAATACCAATGAGTTTCTGCCTTTTAGATTTTAGAAAAAAGGTTTTATCTTTACAAAAAAAGTTTATTCAAATCTCCTATGTTAAAAGGTTGCTATGTAGTTCTTCCCCCATGGTATATCCTCTGTTGTTACTGTGTTTGATTTTGGTATTGCATATACGTTTATTTGAATTAGGGAAGGGAAGGGGAACAACAGAATAGTGAAAGAAAGGACAAGGGGGAACCTATGCAACAGCGATATATACAAGACAATATGTTGGAAGCAATCTGTACAACTTGGGGGATGGGAGGAGGGAAAGTAGGAGAAAATTGAGGGAAGAGGTAACAACAAGGTAACAAGGGAAAACATTGGATTGGGTATCAGGAAGGATTTGTGCTAGTTTGTATATTTAAGTTTGGTTACTTTTTGTGTGTGCCAATACTAGGGCTTGAACTCAGGGCCTGGATGCTCTCTCTGCTTTTTTGTTCAAGGCTGGTGATCTACCACTTGAGACAAACCTTCACTTCCAGCTTTTGATGGTTAGTTGGAGATGTGAGTCTCACAGCATTTCCTTCCCGGGCTAACTTTGAACCATGATCCTCAAATTTCAGTCTCTTGAAAAGCTAGCATTTATTACAGGTGTGAGACATCAGTACTTAGCTCCTAGCTCTTTGAGTCCCAGGTTCTCTATTGGAAAGGTAGTGTCTCAGGCTCTCATTGTGGCCATTTCCAGCTTTGCAGACTACTGGTACTTTAAAAGAAAATTAGATAAAATATAATTTGAATGAATGACTTTTCTTTTAGGCTGATTAATATCTCCAATTCCTAAGGGAAAAAGCTTTTAATAATTAGAATGAAGGTTTAAAATAATTAATTGAAATAAAAACCAATTAACCTCATGAACAAATTCTTCAAAAAGTTTAGCATATTTATAGAATGCTTAATTCCTTTCTAAGTGTGTGTGATAGGACTTTGAGGTCTGGATGTTTCAAAGTGATTTCCTTCTGTCAACCCTGTAGATGATTTCAGTCCCTTTAAAGTGAATTAATTTAAATTGATGGTCGGGAAATCACTACACTCACTGATTACTTAGGTTTATGACAATTCAAGTATCACAGAAGACTGGTCACTCAAAACAGATTTAAGCCCAGTTCTTGTAGTTCATGCTTGTAATCCTAGCGACTCAGGAGGCTGAGATCTGAGGGTTCCAGTTCCAGACATCTGAGACTCTTATCTCTAATTAACCAGAAAAAAGCTGGAAGTAGAGGTATGGCTCAAGTAGTAAAGCACCATCCTTGCATGAGAAAAGCTCAGAGGCCCTGAGTTCAAGGTCTAGTAGCAGCACACAAAAAAGAGACTTAGGTTCAGTAGTATTATATCTATAAAGACTTATTTGAGATATCTAAAAAGTTAGTAAAGAATCATGACATTTTTAGTCTAGTTAAGCATTTATAAAACTATGATAAAAAAACTCAAGTTTTTATTTCTAGTTGAAACACATTGGCCAGAAACTGTCGGTGAGTTCTCAAAATTGTTGTTAACTGTTTTCTTACTATGTATTAAATCAACTCACTGATTCTAAGCCAGAAATATTGCGGGGATAACAGTGTGCCATTCTAAGGGGGAATTTATGGCTTTTCTCCTGGAATGATTTGTCACATTGATGTTATTAGCTCTGATTATTCAACTTTATTTGGCAGCTTCCAATATTAAACAACAGTTATAGCATTGGTTGGCATAAAACTAATTTTTGTTTTGTGTTCTCTTTTAAATGTTTAGGTAACATTTGATCCAGAGGTATTTTTCAACATTCTGCTGCCCCCAATTATTTTCCATGCTGGATACAGTTTAAAGAAGGTATGAAGGCTTTGCTAGTAATTTTTTTAAACACATACGAATTTCTGTGTTAATTTACCTGCATAGTTCTTTAGTTTTTTTCTTCGCTCAGAGTGCTTTTTACTGTGTTCTGCACCCACTCAGACACTGTGACTGATCATAAGTGATCACTTCTGCTTTTCCACACCACTGATGGTAATGTAACATGGTACAGACACTCTAGAGAACACAAGTGGAAGTTCATTATTAAATTGACATTGAAATGCCATACAAAATCCATCAGTTTTGCTGTTGAGAATTAATCTCAGAGAGATTAACACTTACATTCAAACAAAAACCTCTACTCATTCTTTTAAATTATCTTGTTAACAACCCAAACTATACCTCAGAATAGTACTCAAGAAAATGAGACAAACTATTGATACACAATCTGGATGACTCCATAAGGCAACACTGTTGGAATATATGACTTAGCCTTAGTTTTGAGGTCCTTGCAACGTACCTTATGAATTGAACATAGATGTCCTCTAACCAGCAGCTCTGTGTTACTCCCATATAAGGAGGCTGAAATGGAGAGATTGTAGAAATTGCTAGGCTGCCAAAAACTGCTTTTTACCTGAGAACATAGAGGCTAAAGGAACAAGAACCATCCCACATCTTGCACAAGAGGATCAAGACTACAAGTCAGGGTCAACCAGTAAAGTTTTGTCTTTCCCTTTCCCTTTCCTTTTCGTGTCAGTCCTGAGGCCTGAACTTGGGACTTGAATGCTGTCCTTGAGTTTTTTGTGCTCAAGTACAGAACTTTACAAACCTTTTTTATTTTTCGGTGGTTAATTGGAGATGAATTTCATGGACTTTCCTGCCCAGGCTAGCTTTGAACTGAAATCCTCAGATCTCAGCCTCCTAAGTAGCTAGGATTACAGGTGTAGGTCATTTGCACTTGGTTCCATTCCCCCTTCATAGATCAAGTGATGCCTCCTTCTAGCATCACACTTAGTGCAGAAGAGGAGAGGGGAAAGGAGTGGAACCCAAGGGCTCTGTCCAAGATGGATACTCAAGAAGCAGGAGGTTGTGCACATGCATTTCCAATGTGTGCTGCATTTCCCAGATGATGAAAGTGGGTGAGGTTACTTAGACTATGCTGGACTGAGTCAAAGTTATGCCCTCCCTGTTTGACTCCAGGACCCAGGGTTGTGCACTGCCACTGAATTTTTTATTTAGGTTCTGTATTTAAAAATCTTGTTTTCCTATGTAGCCTCCAAAATCATCTGAATCTTTATATCATTTAATGATATATAATAGGAGATTATTAGGGATATTAGTAATGTTATTCTTTACCTAAATAGGGAATCGAGGAACTGTCCTTTAGATCAAATGAATGAGAATAACCTTGTATTTTGAATAACTAATCAATATATGATCAAAGTTATAGTTTCCTTAAAATGAAACCAATTCATTGGTTGGGAAATCCACTCTATCAACTGAGAAACCCCTTATTTTGTAGAATTTTCCTTTTATCAACAATTTTCTCAAAAGGAAACAAATTACCGATTTTGCCAGGTCCCAGTTTAGGTTGTTTTGTTACATACTTACTCTCTTTCCTTTTAAATTAGCCCTAATCAAAGGCTAGTAGCTCACACCTGTAATTCTGGGTACTTAGGAGGCTGAGATTCAGAGGATCATAGTTTGAAGCCAGCTTGGGCAAAAAAAGACTCCATCTCCAATTAACCAGGAAAATGAAATTAAAAAAAAAAAACTGGGCTGGAGGTGGTGTGTCTCAGGCTAGGGTGCTAGCTGTGAGCAAGCAAGCTGAGCAAGACCACAAGGTCCTAAGTTTAAGCCCTGGCACAAGAAAGAAAAAAAACATGCTTATAAGTGCACTACCTTACTGTAGTTGTCATTTCTGATTAAACATATTGTCAATTAAATATGTAATATATTTCACCATGTACATTATGACTTACAGGCAGGTATATTCATACCATTTGACCCACATCCATATAGTCTCCTTGGAGACATGGGTCATTTTTGTTGACTTGAAAAAATTGACCACTGAGATTAGCTTTGATTTGGGGTGACTATTCAAGGTTTGCTTAAGGGTACTGGCAAAGAAATATAAAGGAGGTTCCATTTTGGGTGAGTATTTTGGCAAAGAAGAGAACCAGTGAGAGGGAGAGAGTAATAGGGACAATGAAGGTAATGGTGGAGGACGGTGAATATGATCAAAGTACACTATATACATGTATGAAATATTATAATGAACCCCGCCCAGAAGTCATCATTTTGGTGAACTTCTGCATCAAATGGACATATGTGCACGTGTGTGCGCATGTAAGCACACACATACACACAACATACACTGTACCTTGTCAGTAGGGAACAGGAAAGCATAAAGGTTCCCAAGGAAGAGGAGCATAAAGCTTAGACTAATAATCTAGAAATTGGGAAGCCAGTTAGGTTTCACCAATAGCAAACTTTCTGTTTCTGACCTTTCTTAGGTTTAGATTCTTGAAGGCTTTACTAGGACATGTTACCATCACCTTCTGTCTCTTCCTGCCATCTATATCTGAAAATGACACCTAAGGGAAACTGCAGCAGCCGTGGCTGCAGCCAAGTCAGAATAGGCAAGCAGTGTAGCATTTTTTTCCCTGTACTGAACTGGTGTAGATAGAGGAAGTGGCTAGAAGGGTGGCTTGTGTTGAGTGTGTAATGTACTGGACTCTCCAGTTCTGGGGCTGTGGTTTAGTGGAGGGAGACTTTAGAACACTCAGAAGCTTTCAGTTTCTTTCACATAAAATGGTTCAAATAACAGCTTTGTAGTAGGAGCATTATGAGAACTGGATAAGCAAGTATATGTGAAAATACACTGTGAACTATGAAGTATACATTTAAATGCTAAATATAGTACACAAACAAATGGTCTATCTCTTCAAGATGCAATTAAATTCCCATTCTTGTCAGCAGATATGAATGGGAGAAGAATAGCGTGTGTGTGTGTGTGTGTGTGTGTGTGTGTGTGTGTGTGTGTGTGTGT